GTTATTAGAGGAGCCAGTTCGGTGCCCTGAAGCGGATGACCGGCAGGGAACAACCGACCTGACTGCTGTAGCACCCTCACTCGAGGGGGCTTGCTCTCCCGTGCCGTACCGTCGCCGGGCGGCAGCTGGGAATTTTGCTCGGAATATTTGCTTTAATAAATGGAGCTTGTTTTGATTTAACGAAGGACAATTCATCCTTTCATGGACTTAATGCGCTATTGTTGAATTCACAAATCTTTACTTTGGGACTTTTCATTCGCATTGCCGGGTGGATTTTAAAAATACAGAAGAAGTGGCTTCCTGCTTAAAGATCAAGTCTATGCGGACTGTTGAACGGATGCTAATGAGTTGGAAGTCACTGGTCAATGATGAAGAAAAAAGACTGTTATTGGACACTAATGGAATAATAAATGCTCCCATTTTACAAGACTGTTTCCCTCTTTTTACTTTGTTACACAAATTAGAGAGTTGTAAGGGACCTTTTCGGGATGGTGAAATTTTTTTGTGTTTGGACTATTGACAGCAACTGGTAAGGCTTTTTATAAGATATGTGTTAAAGTTTTCAATAAAAAGGTTTTGAATGGAAAAGTTGACACACCTTGGCGTAAAATATTAGGTATAGAAGAGAGTGTGAAACCTGAATGGAGGTCACTGTATAAGCCACCGTTACCCAAAAGGTCAGGGGATATGCAGTGGAGACTTCTTAATGGCGCCATTGCAGTTAATGCTTTTATTTCTGTTATTAATCATGAAGTTTTGTCTGGTTGTCTTTTTTGTTCAAAAAGAGAAACTGTGTTTCATGCTTTCATGGAATGTGACAGATTGAAACCGTTATTCTTATTTTTGGAAAAAAATTTCACTTCCTTTAATGATTTGTTTTTCATGAAAATTTTAGTTTTTGGTTTTAAATTTGTTAGAGGTAATAAGTTTACATGTCAGCTTTTGAATTTTGTTTTAGGGCAGGCTAAATTAGCTATTTATATGAGCAGGAAAAACAAGGTTGAAAGATTGTCTGGTGAAGATGTGGTGGTTGTGTTTTTAAATTTGGTGAAATCACGAGTGTTGGTTGATTTTTGTTTTTATAAGTCTACAAAGGATTTAGAAACTTTCGAAAAGAAATGGTGTGGTAATGGAGCTTTATGCTTAGTTATTGAAGAAGAGTTGTTTTTACACCTTTGATGTAATTTATTTTAATGCTTTTTATTTTTGGTGTTTTGTGACATGATGTAACGTTTAGAATTGTTGTAGCAAGTATACTAACAAAACGTGATTTATTGTAATAAAAGGTGTCTCAAATTCAATTAAATTCTCCTGTGCTGTGCTCTTCTCTCCTCTGTCTCTTTCTGGAGTTTGATGTCCTCTCTGAGTAGCTCCACCAGCTTCCACTCACTCACTCCCTCACCTGTCCCAGGACACTTGCAATCCTAAGGCAGAGCAAATAAACCATGCCTGTTAACAACAACAGCACAATCAATTTCAGCAAAAATGTGTCAATTAACTTGCTTACGTTGTATTTTTTAAGTCTTTCCCCAGCAGGCTCATTTTCTCCAGAATAGTACTAAAACAAGAGAAAATGGAAAGACTTATGAAAAATATAAAGACAGGTTTGCAATCTTAACATTAGAAAATACAACACAGCAGGACATGCAAACAAAATACTGAAGTGCTAAAGTTTGGTTAAAACATTTGTAGACATCTTGAATGACAGCACTACAAAAACACAACAAAGGGAAAGACAATTGCCTTATATAGTGGTTGTCTTATTGTTTGTGGTCTTTGTTTTTGTTTTTTTTTAACCTGGCTTTTAACACTTGTTTCGCTCGGTATTTGAGTCAATTAAAACACAATACTTACATTTTAATGTGAATTCCCCCACAGAACTGTCATCCTCCGTGTTCTTTGAATATAAACAACGTCGTCATCTGCGCGCAAGTGATTCTGGGATATGGTAGGGTTTCGAAGTGTCCATCAGATGTACACTTCATTTTCCTGGGCGCCATTTGAGCGCATTTGAAGTCGCTTTCGAATTACGGCAGCCTTCGTCGCACCGCGGTGACACAATCAGCCTTGGAATGCGGTCTTCGGAGGGTGCATCCTGAATTGGGACAGCTTACGCCGTGACTCTGTGGCGCAATCGCATTTCAAATGCGCACTTCGGAGTCCGTGCACTTTGGGACACAGCTAGCAGCTAAATTTCAAATGACTTCCCAGCTGTTTTTTTTTTATAGCTTTTCACACCAATTGTGCAAATATCTAGCTTGAACTATGAAATTACTAATTGAGTATTTGCAAATAAAGGACACAGGACACTTTCTTTTTGTAGTATCACTATTTTACGACTAGATTCTCCGCGTAAGCATGCTCAGAGTTGTGCTTATTTTATACACACATTCCCACGTATGAGTACAAGTTGGTAGATCCCACACTTCGCCTGAAACTGTTCTTATGCACTCATTACAAACACATCTGTGCGTACGCACTGTTGATAAATGAGGCCCCTGGAGATTTGGTTTGGTGCTCACACTGCACATAGTGTAACTCATTAAATATAATTATAAAAATAAAATAATAATAGTGATAATAGTATTATTGCACTTACTTTGTATTGTATTTTTAAAGAAAACAATAAACAACATTAGAGTATGATGATACTATTATATATTAAATCAAAATAAAATTATTTTATAGTACCCTTAAAAATTCAATGCTAATATTTAAAAACAAAATATTTTTTTATATGAATTTTCATATTTTTTAAAGCTTTTATTTTGGCGGGTTGCCGGCAAGTAAATGTGAATTGTTGAAGATGTTGCTGAAGAAGAGTTACCAGATCGGTGGGTGAGGACAAAACAGAGGGGCATTTTCGACCATGTTACCTGATTGGCTGATGTTATAGTGACAGTTAAGTTTAGGGGTGGGGTTAGGTTATAGGGGGATCATTTTCATTGCATCATCTAGAAACACCCATCAGTTTGAAAACACCCACAATGTCAGAAACGCCCACTTTTGCTCTGCAGAGACCTCAATCTACCTTCATTATGCATATATGGGAGGTACCTGGGTTGTTATGGGTTGCAGGGAAATCAGGAATTAAAGTTGAGAGTCCATGGAACTACATTCGAGCCGGTTTCTTATATAATTACATAGCTGTGGGAACATATTAGGTGCATTCGACTTGAAGCACCGCTACAGACGGCAGTCAGCAAGAATAGCCGCTTGCAGTCGGGGGCGGAGTTGAAAACGGAGCCGTCAAGCTGAACATTTCTGCTCCCGTTAGTGACGCTCTCGCGGTGTTTGCATACTCTATCACAGATGAAGTGAATTAAATGCAATATTTGTCAAATACACAGACGTTTCAGAAACATTTTCATGAGCAACAGAAACACTTTTTATATACTGTTTAATACAGCACCATCTGTTCAAGAACAGAATAAAGTTCAACGTAAATATATACTATTTAAATACTAATAAAGTGGGGGTATATATGCTTTCATGATAAACGTGACTCAATATAACATTGCGACTACAGTAAAAAAAGCTTTTACTGTTCTAAAAACACAGATTTATGAGCAGTATTGGATTTGAAGATGTTATAAACACATGTCATTGTTGTCATGTGGTGAATTTGGCCAATTGTGAAACAGCTGTGTCGTCATCAGCACTCCTGCAGTCGCTTTTGAGAAACTGCGCCAGCTGAGTCAGCCGGCTGCTCTCGAAAGGCTATCGCGGTACTTTGATGCCACACATGACAGTGACGTGGCGTCGGCGCCGGTTCAAGTCGGACAAAATTTCTAACCGGCATGCACTGCTTCAAGTCAGCCGCCGATCAGTTTGCGCGGCGCCGCATGAAGTCGAACGCACCTATTCTATCTGGGGGGTGCTGGGGGCGGGGCTTGATGTTGCAGGGCGGGGCCATGGTGGGGGATTTTTAACAAAATCCTAATATTAAACAGCCCAAACTCTTATACAAATAATGTGGGAAACATTTCAATCTACTGAAGTGATGAATCTGCTGGAAAGTCAGCTAATTCAGTTAAGTCTGGTCATTCAGACCAGCAAGCACATGAAATTACTGTGTATCTTTTCCATTTTTTGTAAAAATGTGTCAGCTTCGGCTTCATCCCTAATGTGTAGTTGAAATTACACTGAAGTATCTGTGCAACTACAGCAGTACAGATTCCTGAGAATTCATCTTTATAAATAAGGAACCAGATCAGTGTGTGTGTGTGTTGATTTCTGACTGTCATTCTTCTGATTCTCATGTCTCTTCCTGAAAGAAAGCAGGAAGCAGGTTTCAGTTGTTTTACAGAAGTGAAAGAAATTTCAGAGCTGCTGTTCAACACGACGGTTCAGAGGAGGAAATAGAAATATCTAGAAACATTGTTTGAGGTGAGTGCTTGAGCTTTCTTTAGTTATTTTAATGTATGAGTGTCATCTTATGATGTATCATTGGTCGCTCTGAGATTCTGAGACTTTAATGCTGTGCTTCAAGTCAGCCGCCGATCAGTTTGCGCGGCGCCGCATGAAGTCGAACGCACCTATTCTATCTGGGGGGTGCTGGGGGCGGGGCTTGATGTTGCAGGGCGGGGCCATGGTGGGGGATTTTAACAAAATCCTAATATTAAACAGCCCAAACTCTTATACAAATAATGTGGGAAACATTTCAATCTACTGAAGTGATGAATCTGCTGGAAAGTCAGCTAATTCAGTTAAGTCTGGTCATTCAGACCAGCAAGCACATGAAATTACTGTGTATCTTTTCCATTTTTTGTAAAAATGTGTCAGCTTCGGCTTCATCCCTAATGTGTAGTTGAAATTACACTGAAGTATCTGTGCAACTACAGCAGTACAGATTCCTGAGAATTCATCTTTATAAATAAGGAACCAGATCAGTGTGTGTGTGTGTTGATTTCTGACTGTCATTCTTCTGATTCTCATGTCTCTTCCTGAAAGAAAGCAGGAAGCAGGTTTCAGTTGTTTTACGGAAGTGAAAGAACTTTCAGAGCTGCTGTTCAACACAACGGTTCAGAGGAGGAAATAGAAATATCTAGAAACATTGTTTGAGGTGAGTGCTTGAGCTTTCTTTAGTTATTTTAATGTATGAGTGTCATCTTATGATGTATCATTGGTCGCTCTGAGATTCTGAGACTTTAATGCTGTGCTGAAGTCGTTTTGATGATTTTATTTAAAGCTCTTCATGTCGTGGTCAAACAGATGATGTGTCTTTGTGTGTTTTTGTCAGTGAATCATGGAGAGCTGCTCATTCTGATATTGTTGTCACACCGTGTTTCTCTCATTTTACTGTTTATTAGTGAGTCTGTGATTTCAGTATTTCTCATCATGCACTCTTTACTCTGAGGCAGAAACTATCACTCAACATCTTCATGCGTCTGCAGACAGTTCTATATGATGAGCTCTATAATATACTTCTTTAATACAACGAGCAGCATTTACAGAATTACAGAAATAATAAGGAATTCTCAATATTGAAAACTCCCATTGCAAAAATAAAGTGCCAATATATGTATAAAGTTTGTTTGCTTTTAAATGTAGATCCATGAAGTGTGAAGTTGGAAAAGTAGGACTGAGTAGCTTCATATCATAACAATGATTTTTAATGAATTCACACATAATCTGTGCTTTCATGGATGTGCTGAAAATCCCCAGTTAACTATAACACAAAATCACTTATCTTACCCCACAAATAGAAATACTACTTGTTCTTTCCATTTCACCATGTTCACCTCGTTTCACTATATTGAGCTACTGTTGTTCACAATGAAAGTAAGACAGTTAAAGTGCATTTAAACTGCAGATCATCTGCATGTGAGTAAAGTACACTAGTGTAGAGCTGCAGGTCAGTGCAGTATAGTTATCTTAGATTTCAGTCACATCTCCGCAATGTTCTCGTTGAGAGTGCAATTTAAAAAAATGTTATTAGAATTAATTCGTTTGTAAAATATTATAATGCAGTAAGCCTGAAACAGATCACAGCAGTAGACCTTTATCAGTCATCAGCAATGTAGTAAACATCCGGTATGCATATGATTTAATATGAAGCGTCTGTAACGGTCACGTCTGTAACGCATTATTATGGTTGATAAGAGCAAAGAATGGAGATGAGTTGTTGATCAAATTTGAATAGATATAAGTTGGCTTTATACAGAAAGTTTCAAGTTAATTGCATTAATAATTAATATATGATATAAACTTAATAATTATTATATGATATAAACTTAATCTTTAAAATGTTACGGACATGACACAGTGCAGAAGAGTCCTGACCTCATAAATCTATCCCTTATAAATTAAAAAATCATCGCTGTTTAGACAAAGTGAGTTTATTAATTTTTCAGTCAGGTCTCCATCTTTCTACAAAATGCTTACTGTTGACATAAATTTAAAAAATGGGCAGCCTTTGATCTCTCATTTGAAAACATGAAATATAGTTGGATGAAAATGTAATTGTACTATAGGTGCACCCCTCATATGTGGTGGATAAACAGCGATTTCCTTCAAATTTATTTTAAAGCACGTTAATGCAGTAAAATACAGACCTAAATGCACAACTTAAACAGGGTTTTGTTCTTTTGGTAAAAAAATTATTTTTTCATGGTAAGGTTGACATTTGCATGGAATTGTTCATATAGGCAATTTGTAGATTCTGTGGTCCCAAGAAAGTTCACTGGAGTTAAATTAGTAAGACTAAAGAGTTGTGTTGTGGGAGGTTTCATTTATTTAAAGGGGTGGTCGACCGGCTATTTTCAAAGGCTTGATTGTGTTTATGGGGTGCACTGTAACATGTGTTCAGGCTTCATTTAAAAAAAAAAAAAAAATTATTTTTCACATATTTTACCTTTATTCTACACCGCTTTTTCTGTTCTCATGAAACGGTCTGTTGACTTCCTGGTTCTATGAAGCCCCTCCCTCAGAAATACTCAATGGGCTCAGATTGGTTAGCTGGCCCAGTGTGTTGTGATTCACTAACCACCAAGTGCACATTGTACAGAAACGTCACGCCCCGCACCATTACGGGGAGTTGCATGTGCTCCGGGGGATTGTAAACAATGCTGTCAATATTTACCTTATCAGTTTGAGCCCGAATCAGACCCAAAGCTTCATACATGCACACAATATCCATGCTTTACATATAATCGTTCTAACAAATGATACTATAGTCCTGGAAGTGATTATTTGATTACAGACTATGGATCTACAGTGATTGCTACTAACTGTATAGCACCATTAGTTTTGTCGTGTGTTGCCAAATATCTGTCGGCAGAACTACGAGCCCATTACAAAGACTAACCATGGCTTTACTACAGTGGCCAAATCAAACACAGAACCATATTTAGTGAGCATGTAGCTAAATGTAGCTATGGTTCGTGCCATTTACTTCGGTAGCTCCTGAAATGATTATATCCCTCGACGCTGAAAAAGCATTTGACCACGTAGAATGGAATTATTTCTTTAATGTTTTAGGAAAATCTGACTTCGGCACAATTTGATTTCATGGATTCGTCTTTTATACTCTGCTCCCTCCACAAGTGTTAAAACTAATTTTGACAGTTCTTCTTTCTTTTCTCTTTCTCGGGGCACAAGGCAGGGATGCCTTCTGTCCCCTCTTCTTTTTGCTTTGGCAATTGAGCCGCTTTCTATTGCCTTAAAATCTTCCTCATTAATATCCGGCATCCGCAGGGGAGGCGCTGAACATTGAGTCTCTTTATACGCAGATGATTTGTTGCTATATCTCCAGGATCCTGTAGGCTGTGCTGATGAGGTTATGCGCTTGCTTGACACCTTTGGCTCTTTTTCTGCTTACAAATTGAATTTTACAAAAAGTAAATGTTTCCCCTTAAATGACGCAGCTAGGAAAATACCTAAAAGTGCCCTACCCTTTCATTTTTCTTCTACTGGGTTTCGTTATTTAGGGATAAATATTTCTCATTCTTTTAGTTATATATTTATGAACAATTTGATTGAACAAATTAAACTTGGTTTAAAACGTGGGACATCCTACCTCTCTCTCTGGTAGGGAGAGTGGAGACTATTAAAATGAATGTTCTTCCATGTCTTTTATTCCTCTTTCAATCTCTCTCTTTTTTCTGCCTAAATCTTTGTCTTGATAAAACAATTTTCTCTTTTATTTGGGCATGTAAGATTCCCAAAGTAAACAAAGTTATCGTCTCAGGTTACTTATGTAACCATGGTTCCCTGAGTAGGGAACGAGACACTGCGTCCTCTAGGGGTCGCTATGGGGAACGCCTCGTCGTGACCCGTGTCTGAAGCATACATTGAAAAAACACCAACTCGTTGGCCGGCGACAGCCATGACGTCACTACCGGTGCGACTATAGTATAAATAGGCGCCGGGAGCACACATCATTCACTTCTTCGCCTGAAGCTTGCGTCTGCAGCATGGCAAGAAACCTAGAGGATGCAGTGTTTCGTTCCCTACTCAGGGAACCATGGTTACATAAGTAACCTGAGACATTCCCTTTCATGGGAACTTCGAACTGCGTCCTCTAGGGGTCGCTATGGGGAACGGTATACCCACGCCACCATGCTGAGGGGAGTGCAAGCCAGAACCATGGCGAGCACCAACTCTACCATATTGCTGTGGGAGTTGCCCCTGGGACGTTAGACGGCTGCCAGTGACGTTATTCCCTATGGATAAAGGCCTAGACAACATACCCCAAAACGATTATTATAATTTTTTTTAACAAAATGAGATTCAAGACAAATTATAAATTAAATTTGTCCTTTTATTATTGCTTGGACAAAATACTGCACATTTCTTTGAGAAATTGAAATATAATACTATAATAATATACTAATATAGCACTTGCATATTACTGCTCTTTTGTTGGTTTTGATTGCTTCTATTGTCCTCATTTGTAAATCGCTTTGGATAAAAGCGTCTGCTAAATTACAAAATTTAAATATAATGTAAATGTAAATAACAAAACTAAACTGAAATTTTAAAACAAGCCCCAAATCAAATAAATAAGTAACACAAATAAAAGA